CATTATTACGCGTGTCGTCCTTTAATGAGATCATCCGCCTTTTATCAGTGGCGAAGGCCTCATTGGGGGAGTCGCTGAGTGCCTTTGAGTATTTCGATGGTCAATGCGTGAAGTGTTTACAGATGAATGGATTCAACGACTTGTTGAAGAATCTTCCACCAGGAAGGAGGAGTGAAGAACAGGATTACTATGCTCTAGTTGAGGTAAGCGTATCTTAGGTTCAAGGTTTAAAGATACAGTTCATGTCCACAGGTTAACGGTAACAATGCTCGTAACATCGAATTGAAGATTCATAATTTCGTTGAAGAAGCGGAGTCTCGTGGTGGTGTGCCGGTCGAAGGAATGCTCTCTCGTGATACCAAGCAGGAGAGGGTGAGTCAAATCGATCATGTGATCGATTATCCTCGTCACTTCAGGATTTGTGGAAGATTCGTGAGAACATACCAGTGGCATTGAACAGGGAAGGTGTTCTTCATAAGTAAGAACTTGATCTTATTACATCGATCTGTGGCAAGTTCCATTATATGCTTTAAAATTTCGTAGAATTACCAGAGTTTTTCGGTGGATGTTCGTAGTATTCGGGGTTATTGCTATCCATATTGTGGCTTTTCATTATGTCGTTTTTCATTGGTTTTCCATGCTGTGATGGGAGAATATTTCCATGAAAACTGTGTGAAATTTCGTCATTGGTATAATTCAAGATGTATTCTCACTATTTCCTCTACGTCTCTTGCGGCTTCACTATATGTTTTCACTACTCGTATTATGTACTCTTCCTTTTTTCGGATAACTTGTATACTTATTATGATTTCGGGTGCTCCTCCTCCTTCTCCTTAGAGTGAGGATTCGTATGATCGTGTTTTAGTATGGAGACTTTGGAGATTGCCATACAGGAGAGTATCTGCCTTCAGATATGATGTGTCTCTGCCAGTGAGTGCGATGGACGACTTAGTTCGACATGTACGGAGGGAGTTCCATCGTAGAGGAGAGGTGGGTGGCTGAGAATTCCGTGGCGCGCGGTAAATATCTTGTTGTTTTCAGATTCGTCGTGTTGTCGGGTATGGACATGTTGGCGATGGCAATCTCCATCTTAATGTTGTATCTGATCCAACTATGA